TATAAGCTACAGCTACACCTACCCACCCACTAGCATCCATTCTCAATACATTCTTCCCTTATTCCTTCTGTTGCTATGGACAAATAACAGGTACTACCTAAGACTGACTCTTTCATGGTTCTATAGTACATTTACTAGGAAAAAACACTGTGCAGTAGTAAGCTAAGCCACTACTTGTGCTACCTGTATGTCCGATCAGAAAGCCTAGGTTCAAACACTTCCTGTTTCCAGCTAGTTTCCTGCTAATGGGCACCTAGCAGGCAGGTGAGGGATCCTATACTTGGGCACCTACCACTTATATGAGTAGCTTTGATATATGAGTAACTAAGATCAAGCTCTGGACTCCTGGATCCCACCTAGACCAACATGGTCATTTAGGGAGTGAATGCACAACATTAAAGATCTCTGTCTCAGGCCTGGTGCCATGGCATGGTGGCTGAAGTCCTCACCTAATAAGGGCGCTGGTTTTAATCCCGGCAGCTCCACTTCCCATCTAGCTCCCTGCTTGTAGCCTGGGAAAGCAGTCAAGGACGACCCAAGGCCTTGGGACCCTGTACCCATGTGAGAGACCTGGAAGAGGTTCCTGGCTCCTGGCTTCAGATCGGCATAGCACCAGCCGTTGCGGCCACCTGGGGAGTAAATCATCAGTTGGAAGATCTTCCTCTCTGTCTCTCCTCCTGTTCTGTATATCTGACTTTGCAATAAAAATAAATAAATCTTGAAAAAAAAAAAGACCTCTGTCTCACACACTCACTCTGTACATCTGCTTTAATATAAAAAACTAAAAGTAAAATTAAAAAAAACCTAACATGCCTTTTTCAATTCCTTTCTTCTAATTTTCTTTAATATGGTCTCACTGAGATGCAATCACACATCAGAGAATTCATATGTTTAAACTGCAAAATTCACGGTGTCTTTTTATTCATCAATTATGAAACTATCATCACCTAATTCTAGAGTATTTTTATCTCCTGAGAAAACCCTATCCCCACTAGCAGCTAATCATGAGCTCTATGCAGCTGCCAAAGTATCTTCTGCCTCTGTCAGTTCGCCTGTTCTGGACGTTTCCTATACATGGACTCCTGTAACAGCACCCTTTGGTGTTCTGGCTTCTTTGACTTAACATAATGTTTTCAAGGTTCATTTAAGTTATGTTATTCCTTTTTGTGGTTGAATAATATTCCATTATCTGAATATACCACATTTATATACTGTTCATCTAACACACATCTGGATTTTTGTCTACTTTTTGCCTATTATGAATAATGTTAACATTTGTATATAATTTTTATATAGACATATTTTCACTTCACTTAGGTAAATACCTCACAGCAAAATTTTAGGGTAACATGATTAATGTGATATTTAACTTTAAAAAAACTACACACCTACCCCCAGCACAATGGCCCAATGGTTAATCCTCACTTTAAAAAGCTCTGGGTTCCCATTTGAGCGTGGTTCTTGTCCGAGCTGTTCCATCTCCCATCCAGCTCTCTGCTCATGGCCTGGGAAAGCAGTGGAGAATGGCCCAAAGTCTTTAGACCCTACACTTGTGTGGCAGACCCGGAAGAAGCTTGGCTTAGATCAGCTCAGATCTGGCCTTGGAGGACATTTGGGGAGTGAAACAGCAGATCAAGGATTTACTTCTGTCTGTATATCTGATCTGTCCCTCCAACAAAAACAAAATAGAAACCACACATCTATTTTCCAGAGTAGTGACCTTATATTACTAAGTGAAGCCCTAATGGAGAAATCCTTGGTCAATCTTCAGTCTTCACCAGCTTTCTAACTTTCTAACTTCGCCTTGCTTTGTCTTTACCTCCTATAAAGTGTATTTTCAACTCAGCAGTTAGAGAAGTCAGAGTACATTATTTCCATTCAAAACCTCCTTAAATCTCTTTTTAAAATTTATTTATTATTTGGAAACGAAAGAAACAAAGAGAGCTCCAAATAGATAAGACAGCTTGGGCTAGGCCAAGGTCACATTCTAGGCTATGTGGGTAACAGAAGCTCAACCACTTGCCATTATTACTGCCTTCTGGGATCTGTCTTGGCAGGAGACCTAGTTCAAATGCATGCTTCCTGCTTCAGCCTACCAGCTATGATGAGCATTTGAGCTCTCTCCTGTCTACATGTGTGATTGAATGAATAATTTTTTTTAAAGATTTTTTTTTTTATTGGAAACTCAGATATACAGAGAGGAGGAAAGATAGAGAGGAAGATCTTCCATCCGATGATTCAGTCCTCAAGTGGCCACAACGGCTGAAGCTGCATCAATCCAAAACAAGGTGCCAGGAGCCTCTTCTGGGTCTCCCTCCCAGGTGCAGGGTCCCAAGGCTTTGGGCTGTCCTTGACTGCTTTCCCAGGCCACAAGTAGGGAGCTGGATGGGAAGTAGGGCTATTGAATTAGAACCCATGTCCGTATGGGACCCCAGTGTGTGCAAAGCAAGGACTTCAGCTACTAGGCTACCACAGCAGGCTGTTTTTTTTTAACAGATAATTTTTAAAAGACAGTCATCATGTTAGACTAAAATGGATAAAATAGGTCTTGTTTGCTGGTCTCCAGCCAGTGAATCTAGGTAGGAAATGTGAGGTTCAAAGCCACTGAAATGGGATTATATAATATGAATTACATAAGGAAAAGAGTCCTCCCAAGCTGTAATCCTACTTACTATGACAATCTATATCACACACACAAAAAAATCTGTTAGCTAATGGTCTGCCATGGCAAAGAAATTCAAGAGTTTTTGAAGTAAAAATGTAATTTTTTAAAAAGTCCTATAAATTATAATTAAGGCTAAAAGGATTTTAAATATTTTCATCAGACATAAATGTTTGAAGAGCTAGATATGTTTAGCCTCATCTGAATATTATACAATTGTGTACATGAATAAAACTATACAACTGCTACATATTGGTTACAAAAACTGTGAACAACTTCTCTAGGGCTAACGTGATAGCTCAACTGGCTAATTCACCACCAGTATGCACCAGGAACCCATATGGGCTTGGTTCTATTCCCAGATGCTCCACTTGCCATCACGCTCCTTGCTCATGGCCAGGGAAAGTAGTGGAGGATGTCCCAAGTTCACGGATCACTGCACCCATGTGGGAGACCCTAGCGGGAATTCTGACCTCCTGGCTTCATATTGGTTCAGTTCTGCTGTTGCAGCCACTTTGGCAGTGAACCAGCAGATGGAAGATCCTCTGTCTGTCTTTCCTTCTCTCTGTAAATCTACCTGTCCAATAAAAAACTAAATCTCAAATACTTTTTTTTTTCTGTTCCTGTCATTCTGCCTTATAAATCAATAAAAAAACTTACAAAAAACCCCTCAGATTATTCTATTAAGTAAAATAATATTAATAGTATATTTGTAATAAATAAATTCTTTGCCAAACTATAAGTGATATAGATTACCTGCCCAATGCAACTTATCTATAAACTATCATTGGTCTGCTATGATAAAACTTTAAGAATGCACTTCACTGGGCCCGGCGCGGTGGCCTAGTGGCTAAAGTCCTTGCCTTGAACACGCCGGGATCCCATATGGGCGCCAGTTCTATCCCGGCAGCCCCGCTTCCCTTCCAGCTCCCTGCCTGTGGCCCGGGAAAGCAGCAGAGGACGGCCCAAAGCTTTGGGACCCTGCACCCGCGTGGGAGACCCGGAAGAGGCTCCTGGCTTCGGATTGGCATAGCATCGGCGTTGCGCTCATTTGGGGAGTGAATCATCAGACAGAAGATCTTCCTCTCTGTCTCTCCTGTCTGTATATCCACCTTTCCAATAAAAAATAAATAAATAAATAAATAAATCTTTAAAAAAAAAAAAAAGAATGCACCTCACTATACTACTACCTTTATCATAAAAAGTTTGCTATGAAAAAAATTTCAAATGAACTAAACAGTGTCCCTGCTAATGTAAATATTTTACATCCTGGTAAAGTTCCTATTTCACTGCAAACTGATAATATTTTATAGGACTCATACGTCAGGTAGCACTGTCCTAATTTATCTTTAAATCTAACCACCTAATTTTTTTAATACCTGCTAAATATAACATCAGAGTTTCTGTATCATCTCTCATTCTGGAATTTATTAGAATTAATGTGCATGTTTTCTAGATGTTACTTAGTCTATTTATACTACAGAATTTCATCACTTGTCAGAAACAAGACTTTAATATTCCAAAACTGGGTCCAACATGGTAGTCTAGCGGCTAAAGTTGTCGCCTGGCATCCACTAGGATCCCATATGGTGCTGGTTCTAATTCCACTTCCCATCCAGCTCCCTGTTGTGGCCTGGGAAAGCAGTCGAGGACAGCCCAAGGCCTTGGGATCCTGCACCTGTGTGGGAGACCCATAAGAGGCTCTGAGCTCCTGGCTTTGGATCAGCTCAGCTCTGATCACTGAGGTCGCTTGGGGAGTGAATCATCGGACGGAAGATTTTCCTCTGTCTCTCCTCTCTGTATATCTGACTTTCCAACAAAAAATAAATTTTTTAAAAAAATTCCAAAACTGTGCACACTGATAAATTGTTAAAACTGGTTTCAATTTGTGAATAGGATTATACACAAATGCTCTAGAAAGTTGAACCTGGGTAGCACAACAGCTTTGAAAAAAACTTGGTTGTGGTGTAGGCATAGGAGCCCGCAGGAAGCCACAGGGCAGATCCTGTGTACAAGCCTGGGTTTACTTCCTGGCTAAGGATCCTGAGTTTAGCTTCCTTCTAAGGTAGACTCCATGAGCAGGCAGCAGTGAATGGTGCAAGTAATTGGGTCCCTCTACTACCCAGGGGAGAAGTGGATATTTGTTTCTGGCTCCTAATTTCATACCAGTCTAGCCCCAGTTGTTGCAGGAATTTGGGGAGGGAACCTAGTGGATGGGAGCTGTCTTACCCATTTCTTTCTCTCTTTGCCCCTGTATATCAAACAAATAAATTTATTGTTTCAAAGGAGGAGTTTTATTTTGAAAGGGATAGAAATTCATCCAGTTTTTGACACTAACCTAAATATTCCATCAGCTGTTCAGCAGTTATGATTTCCATCATCGGTGGAAGTTTCACCTGAAAAACAAAGTATTATTTCTATAAAATCAAAAGTTTTAGGTGACTAAAGTGTTTCCTACAGTCAGAAGCAAAAGTATTTATGTGTTTATGTATCTACCCTATGTATACATTTACACATTTATTGGAATTTTACAATAAAATCTTTATAGAATATAACAAAGTCAGCCCTATCACCACAAACCAACTTTTCAGGGTGATATATAAGATCTTGTAGAGATATAAAGAATCTGTCCAAATATCTTTTACCCCTCTTTGCAATTATTAAGCACCAAACATGTGACAGAATACCCACAGAGCAGCTTCACAGAAGACAGACTTGAATTCAGCGCAGTACCACATCTCTGTCTACCTGCCTCACTTTTATTGTTATTGGCTAAAATGAATATAGTGCTGACATATGAATCATAACCTGAAAACATCACCTGATTATAAGATTTAAAAGCAGGAATAGCTCCACACTTAGATGATAAAACCATAAAGAAAAGTAAGGGGGCTGGTATCATATCAAGCCTGGGTCTGCAATACCAACATTCCACATGGACACAGATCACTCTACCTTTCAAGGAAGAAAAAAATGAAGGCTAATATGTTGTCTTAATTCTGATGGCTTCACTGCAGAAATGTTTTTTTCCAGGAAATTTCATAAAGAAGTAGCTCATTCTCTCCTTTGATGATTATATTCACCCTGTTAACTAAGTCAAAGAAACCAAGGCACTAATAAGTATTTGGGATATATATACTAACACAAGTTTGGGATATACGTTCTATAATACCAGACAGTTCCAAGCAGGTGATTTCACGATTTAATCTTGCAATTTCCACAGAGCAACTGCCTGTCATGTCTCCCTTCAAACAACTGAAATAGGAAAAGGCCAACCTCTATATACAGATATTGTCTTTTTTTAATCTTCCATTTATTAATATTATCATTTTATGATACAGTTCCATAGGTCCCTAGGATTCCCCTTATCCTCTCCCCAATTCCCCGTCACATTGACACCTGGCTTCAGCCTAACTTAGCCCAGCTCTGGCTGCTGCAGCAATGTGGGATATGAATCAGCTGATGGATGATGTGGTAGCTCTCTCTCTCGCTCTCTCTCGCTCTCCCTTTCTTTCTTTCTGAAACTGACTTTCAAACAGAAAAACGGAAACAAAATTTTACACTATTCAGTTTCTATGCCTTTGAAAATGGAAAGACATCTGCACAAGGATTCAGGATATGGTTAAGAAAATTAAGAGCTTTTTCACAAAGATGGCACCAAAGATGAAGCAGGAATTTCTTGTCCCTCCCAAAGCCAAAGCTGAAGCCAAAGTGAAGGCTCTGAAGGTCAAGAAGGTGGCGCTGAGAGGTGTCCACAGCCACTAGAACAAGACTGCACATCACCCACCTTCCAGCAGTCAAGATGCTCTGCCTGCAGCGGCAGCCCAAGCACCCTCAGGAGAGCGGCCCAGGATACAAACTTGAGCACTACATCATCATCAAGATCCCTGACCACAGAGGCTGCTAAGACAGAGGACGACACACTCATGTTCTTTGTGGGTGTCAAGACTGACGAGCCCCAGATCAAACAGGTCATCAAGAAGCTCTGTGACACTGATGTGGTCAGTCAACACCCTCATCAGACCTGATGGAGAAAAGGAGGCACACGTGGGGCTGGCTCCGGATTATGATGCTCTGGGTGTCGCCGACAAAACTGGGATCATCTAAATTGTATTCAGCTGCCTAATTCTAAGTACATGTTTTTCACAATACAGAAATTAAGAAAGAGGCCAGCATTATGTGAAAATGGGTAAAGAGCAATCTATAGTGTTGGCAACCTATAAGGCTGCAGGTTCCAGTCTCAGATGCTCCTCTTCCAATCCAGTCCCCTACTAATGTGCCTGGGAAAGAAGGGCAAGATGGCCCAAGGACTTGGGTCTCTGCTCCCCCATGGGAGATCAAGCAGAAGCCCTAACTCTAGGCTTCAGACCAGCAGCTCTAGCACTTACAGCAATTTGGGGGTGGAACCAACAGATGCAGGTCTCTGTCTCTCCCTCCTCTCTCTGTAACTCTTTCAAATAAATAAATCCTAAAAAATACACGATGGAGGGGAGAGGGGGAAGGGAGCAAAACGATGGCTCAATGGCTACATCCTCATCTTATAAATGCCGGCTAGCTCATTTCCAAGCTGCTTCACTTCTCATCCAGCTCCCTGTTTGTGGCCTGGGAAAGGATAATGGTCCAAGGCCTTGGGCTCCTGCAGCCATTGGGACCTGGAGGCTTCAGAATGGCTTAGTTCTGACTATTGCGGCCAGTTAGGGAGGGAACCAGCAAAATGCAGGATCTCTGTCTCTCCACCTCTCCATAAATCTGATCTGCCTTTGCAATAAAATGTATGTTATATACAATAAATGTAAAGTACTTTACTATCTGGACACAGAAATAACTGAGTACTTAGTATTACCTTTCAAACCCTGAGCACAAATACCACCCGGGTCCAGATGTCCTTCACTTGGGACTCAATAGGTATGATTGGAACTGGAAAGGCTTTTCATTAAAGGAATTCAAATCCAGAGGAAAGGAGAAGCATTCAGCACAGCAGCCTTGCAGCTAAAGTCCTCACCTTGCAGCCACTGGAATCCCATATGGGCGCCGGTTCTAATCCCGGCAGCTTGACTTCCCATCCATCTCCCTACCTGTGGCCCAGGAAAGCAGTCAAGGATGGCCCAAAGCCTTGAGACCCTGTACCCATGTGGGAGACCCAGAAAAAGCTCCAGGCTCCTGGCTCCTGGCTTCGGATCAGTGCAGCTTTGGCCACTGAAGCCACTTGGGGAGCAAATCATCAGACGGAAGATCTTCCTCTCTGCCTCTCCTCCTCTCTGTATATCTGACTTTCCAATATAAATAAATAAATAAATAAAAAGAAAAGGAGAAAACACATCCAATCAGTGGCAACGTTGATAGCAGGGCAACCACCCACTGACTGACACTACCCACAGCAGCAGCAAACTTCATCTATGCTATCTTACAAATTCAGACACAACACTAAGTTTAGTTCTTGAGAGAAACTGAGAATCAAAGATGCTGAAATATTACTTAAATCATGTGTGTGCAAACAAAACCCCATTGTTACATGAAGATTTTTAATCTCTTCAGACAGGATGGGCAGAAATTAAGATGACACCTTTGTCTTGTTATCTATTTTCTCTTTTAGAAGTAATAAACACACTTGGAAAAACTCAAAAGGGCTTTGTGTTTGCTACTGGGAAAGGGAAAAAGAGGAAATTTGTGATTACAACGCTCCTGCAAGTCAGAGCAAACAAAGCCAAGTCAGAATCCACAGGAGATCTCTATGAATAAAAGCAACATCCCCAAGGCAGGCAGACAGAAGCCAAGCCTCTGTGGGCAGGAGGATCATCTTCAGGGTGTCTCTTTAGTAGATGACGGTAAGACAGAACACATGTCTGTCTGAACTCTGAATTTCCTGTTAATGGCCTTTTGACCATCTTACCATTCTGCTGCTCATCTTCATTTTAAGTTGTCAGGGTTCTTTGTAAATGAATACATTATCTTTTAGATTTATAATCTAATAACTATTTCTACCAGTTTATAATGTGTTTTGATTGAGTTTATGATGGGTTAGCATGTATATGTATGTGTAGGCAGTGACTTTTCATTCTTTTAAATTAATTTTATGTTTTATTTGCAAGGCAGAGATATACAGAGGAGAGCGAGCTCCTGTTAGTCCACTCTCCCAAAGGCTCCAATAAGGTCAAGACAGGTGAGTAGGGAACTCAGTCTAGGTTTCCCAGGTGAGTGGCACAAATCCAAATTCACCTGAGCCATCAACGAGCTTCTGAAGGTCTGCATTAAGAGGAAGCTAGAGCCAGGAGCCAGATTAAGGTGTTGAATCAAGCTACTGCAATGGGGCACATAACATCTTAAGCAGCTGCTGCTTTTTTAAAAAAAGATTTATTATTTGAAAGTCAGAGTCACACAGACAGAGAGATTTTGTATTCACTATTAAAATGGCTGCAATAGAACCACATCAGGGACCCTGGGATGACAAAGGCGGTCATTCCCCATCCCTGAGTACTGAGGTGGTTGGCAGGCTGGGTGTGGCTTACCCACATCGCCCTCTCTCCCTGACACAGGAAGAAAAAAAAGAAAATGTGGAAACAATGGTCTAACCCACCTTCCCCTAATCCTCAACCCTTCCCAACCTAACCAACTAGGTAACCATCATCAAAAATAAAATATATTTAAAAAAACAAACTCAGCATGTCTAACACAGCAAAAACAAACAAACAACAACAAAAAAACAGCTGCAACAGCCAGGGCTAGGCCAGGCCAAAGCCTTCAGAGCCAGGAAATTCGTCAAGGTCTCCCACATGAATAGCAGAGGCCAAAACACTTATGCCAACTTCCACTGCTTTCCCAAGCACATTAGCAGGGAATTAGACAGAAGTGGAGCAGCTGGGACTTGAACTAGTGCCCACATGAAATAACAGCATAGCAGATGTTGGCTTACCCCAAAATGCCACAATCCCTTCCTCCTTAACCAGCTTCTGAATTGTAGACAAAATACTTGGCCCATGTTCTTCTAATTTTTAATCTTTAACTTTATATTTTACAGAATGTAATACATTAATCCTTATTTAGTTCTAGGCTTGATATTTACAAAAAACAGCTTAACATAAGGAATCTTGGAGCATGCATTTTGCACAGCAGTAAGTTGCCACTTGGTGGGAGGCAAGCAGGTTAAACGGTGCAGGCATCCCATACGGACAGGATACAAGCTCATGTTCTAGCTGCTCCATTATTCATTCAACTCCCTGCCAATGTGTCTGGGAAAGCAGAAAAAGATGGCCCAAGAACATGACCTCCTGCTACCTACATGGGAGACCCATAAGCTCCTGGCTTTAGCCAGGGCCATCCTTGGCCATTAAGTCATTTGGGGACTGAACAGCAGATGAAAGATTTCTGGCTGTTTGTCATTTTCTGCAACTGCCTTTAA